CATACACTATCTTAGTACATGACTCAGTAGCCTTGTAAGCAAGGTCACTGTATTGGGAGAGAATATTCTGGCCTTCACACCTACTTTAGTGTTAAAGCAACTCAGTGTGTAGGATTCAGATCTAGTGATGTCTCCCGAGATTATTACAGTTTCTATGTCTGATCAATAGAGGATGGTAAGGAAGGTGTGGTCTTTTCTTCTTCTAGCCTACCAAATTTTTGAGAAGAAAACTTAAATGAAAGAGTGACATACTCAGAGAGAGGTGTTTTTGTATATAAGATAGGTATATGCCAAGGGAAGAATATGGTCGCTTCCCTTCATACACTCTTGAGAATTCTGAAAGTCTCATCAAAGTAAATTTGGTAATTTATTATTGTCAAAAAGAGGGGCACTCTGAATTCTAGCTTTTTTAGCAGTCATGAGTTCTTACGTGTTATACACATAATCTTATCTGAGAATTTAGCTCATAAGTCAACTAAAACACATATTTGTAGCATGGACAAGTAGTTTTGAAGAAGGTTGTAGAATGTGCCTCATTTTTTTTTTTTTTACAGCCAGCAGTGTTCAAAATCAGACTTTATCACAGTGTAAAGTGTTGGTCACTACTGTACCCCAATCGAGGTCATAAATCACATAGAGACTGACTTCAGATGTAAAGGTCTACGGGAACAAAGAATGTCATATCAAAGAATAAAGGAGGCAGAGGGCGTAGTTCTAAATGAAATACATTTTTATTTATATGATCATGAGGACTTTCTGAGTTACACAATACATGACACTTCTTGTTCGCTACCCCTCATATATACAGCACTGGACACAACTTTAGTAAGAGAATTCAGAGAAAGCATTGGCAGCACCAAAAGCCTGAGCATTTTTCATTCAAGTGAGACCAAATAATGCTTAGGTAGACTAATTATATAATTGGATTTATTTATTTCTCCTCCCTAGCTAACCGGAATATAGAGGCTTATGTTGTAGGTTGGATTAGTTACAGTTTAAGTAGAAGAAATTTTACTTTCTCAGTAGATCCAACATTTAATTTGGTCAATAAATTAGTGTGCTCTCACTATAAAAATAATGTGAAATCATTTCCTTGAAGATGAGAAAAAATATTTTAAAATTGAAAACTATGGAAAAAATCAGTGAAGAAGAGATAAAAGAAGAAACACAGTATCTAGTAAAGTTAAAAAAAAAAAGTCAAACAATTTCTCAGAAGTCAAAAGAAAAGAGTGAAGAGTAAACCAAAAATTAAACAAAAAACATTGAGATGCATGGAGGATTGATCTGGAATACTCCATCACTGAATTAGAGAAAATAATGGGGGAAAATACTTATTGAGAATGGAAAAATAACTTCCTTTTTTTTTTGAAATGGAGTTTCACTCTTGTTGCCAGGCTGCAGTGCAATGGCGTGATCTTGGCTCACTGCAACCTCTGCCTCCCAGGTTCAAGCAACTCTCCAGCCTCAGCCTCCCTAGTAGCTGGAATTATAGGAACCCATCACCGTGCCCAGCTAATTTTTTGTATTTTAAGTTGAGATGGGGTTTCACCATGTTGGCCAGGCTGGTCTCTAACTCCTGACCTCAAGTGATCCGCCCCCATTGGCCTCCCAAAGTGCTGGGATTACAGGGATGAGCCATTGCACTTGGCCCACCACACCTATTTTTAAAAGATATTTTCCCTCCATTTAAAGGAAATCACATTTTAAAAATTTCATTTCCAGCCCACCTGAATGAGAAATGTGACATAACATCTCCTGGAGCTTTCAAACGTAATGACAAAGAAATATAGAAGATTGTGAGGGAAAATCATCCAAAGATATTGGAATTAGATGGACACTTAAACTATCTACATTATTAGACACTGGGATATATTAGATGGCCCTCAGCTTAAAAAGTTTCAGCTTAAAATTTTTATTCCAGCAAATATGCTATAGGTGTTCATAGCAGAAAGGAATTTTAAAAATACAAGAACAAGAAAAATTTTTTTTAATTCTAAGAGGTATACATATAGGCCAAATAAATACTCAGATTTTTTAAAAATATGAAATATGTATTAAAATGCCATGAAAATGAGAAATTTAACCCTAAATGTTTGTGTGATTACGTTATTTGAATGTACTATTTATTAAGCATTTGCTAAGTGTCATTTAGCTAAATATTATGTATTTAATTTGTAAAGCATTTTTGAGGTAAGTCCTAGACCCAACTACTATCTCCAAATTCTCACTGATGATTTAAAGGTGCTAATAAAGTAACTCGTCTTTGAGCAGAATAACCTGCTTGGTTACTGTCTATGTGTTTGTGGTGTGGGGATACATGTAAAAGGTATATAAATATTGTTTAAAAAATTAAAACAGTAAAATTTTAATCCCAGATTAAATTAACAAATACAGAAAAACAGTTGGGTAGGTAAACATTCTCTATTCCTCATTTTACAAAATAGGGAGTAAAAATTTCCTGGATTACATAAAATACAATGATTCATACTTATGACAGGTAAAACTGTTACAGAATTTCTGAATGATTTATACAACAGTTCTAAACAAGTGATGAAATTAAAGTTTGCTCTTGATGGGGTCCTTAGAACGTGACTACATGAAGAAGAAAATCAGTTATTAAATTCCAGACCAGTTACATTGTGACAAGTCAAACATTTCTCTCACTATAGCCTTGCTTGTCTAATCATGTGATCTCTGGAAAAGCAACATTCATGCAGTCTGTAATCTCTTTGCTTGCTGTTTACAAGGAGACACTTATAATAAATTATCAGTTAATTTCTTGATAACTTTTATAAGCACATATATATGACATGATCATTTTAGTTATTTGAATTCAGTGTTTTTGTTTCGCGTCTGTTGTTCCATAGAACGTGGCCCATCTCACCCATCTAGCTGCAGAGACAAGACTGATGAAATGGACAAGAAAGTGCATTCATAAAGCAATACATTGTTCAGTGCAATTAGAAGACAAGAGGTTTATAATATCTGATTACTTATAGAGTATACATGATGAGGGGTAAAACACACTTCAGTTTAGCAAGGCTTTACGATGTGCGGGGAAGAATTTAGCAGTCAGTCTGGAAGTAAGCCTTAAGTGAAAGCATAGATAGAGACATTCTAGAAATTATTTTATGAACCACCTAAGCCAAAACAAAAGTAATGTGGGCTAGTCAGACTTAGAAGTAGAGGACATAGCACAGGAAAGAAGAGATACCAAATTAAGAGGTAATTCAGATGGACCTGAAAGTGGAACTTCGAATTTGAAACATTTTGTAGTTCAAAGATCGGGTATTTGATTGTATATACTTGTAACAAGCACAATGTTGAAAGAGATTTTTATTTCTGTGTTAAAAATTTAGTTACCCCTATGGCCAACTAGAAAGAAACCAAAGTTCATAAAGACATAAAAATGGCAGGTGAATGAAAGAAATGTGTTTATTACAGAGCATTACAAAAATGGGAGAGAGAGAATTAGCCATAGCAAGCATCTTCTGCTTGCTTAATGTTCTTTGGGCTTGCATGTAGTAAAAAATAGTGAATGTTAAATATTCTAAAACACTCTGGAAGCCTGCCTTACCAGCACTGATTAAAAGAAGTGAATACCAAATGTAACCAACAGATTTCCTTTTCATTTATCTGCTACTGAGAATACTAAGTATTTTCTTATCTCCATCACTCTCAGAAGTTCTCTTGCAACGTGCCTGTTTCTACATATACATCACTCTGACAGCAGAATCAAGAATAAAAATTCAGATAAGAAAACATGATGTGCATTATTTTATCTTTTAAATATAGGACATACATAAAAATAGATATTTGAAGACAGCTTCTTAGAATGAACAATAAAAATAATCACAGTATATCCTCATTTTACCTTGATAAGAGTAGAATAAAGGCACATATTGATCATTTGGACTGTGGCTATTCATAATTCCTCTTCTAAAAGTCAATCATGAAGGGTCTATCTATAATAAATCTGAGATTTACTGCCTCAGAGATTATGATTCTACAGATTATTCATAGCATGCTATCACTCAGGCAGTGGGAAGAATGGTCTAAACACTTAGGTAGAAGACTTTTGAAGTCATAGCAATTCTTGACCTGAATATCTAGGTGAGCCTTCATTGTCCTGCACTCAGAAAAATACCTCAATGACAAGGGATAAGTTTAATATTTGAAAAAAATAATTTTACCATGATGGTATTTTCACACCTTCTGTTCTCTGAATAACAGCTTAGGAAGGAGGATTTTGCCCCGTTTGCACTGCCTCATTTGTCAGAAGCCAGCAAAATTCTTTTAGTAATTTAAGTATATGATGCCAACTAATAATATTCCTAAAGGAGGCAAAAAATTTTCCTCTGCAAAATGTTATTTTGCTTAACTTGGGATATTTTTATTGCAGGTTGCCTTTCTGCTTTCGTTATTTTGGGAACCAAAGAAACAATAGTTCTTATTATTTTGATGGATATATCACTGCAAAAGACAAGCTGAATCAGTCGAGGTTTTTTGTTGTTGTTGTTGTTGTTGTTAGGTTGTTTTTTTTTTTCTGCCATACACATTAATCTACTTTTCTTTTAAAATTCGTATGACTATTGGTGATACATAATTGAAAATAGCCAACGGTACCTAAGGGTTTTTGTTTTTTGTTTTTTGTTTTTTTGAGATGGATTCTTGTTATGTTGTCAAGGCTGGAGTGCAGTGGCACAATTTCAGCTCACCACAACCTCCACTTCCCAGGTTCAAGCAATTCTCCTGCCTCAGCCTCCCGACTAGCTGGGACTACAGGTGCACACAACCACGCTTGGCTAGGTTTTGTAATTTTACTAGAGATGGGGTTTCACTATGTTGACTAGGCTGGTCTTGAACACCTGACCTCGTCATCTGCCCACCTCATCCTCCCAAAGTGCTGAGATTACAGGTGTGAGCCACCATGCCCGGGGGTATTTTTAAAGAAACAAAATAGGTAAATATAAATGTAAATTAGTTATTTTTATTTAACTTTCCATTTTATTTTACTATATTCAATTAGAAACATGCATTAAAAGTATAATCATAAAGCATTCACATCTAATTTTGCCTCCTTCAAAAACTAGAGGAGAAACAGCTGAGACATGCTAGTGTGAAAAGATTCCAAATTCTTCTACCCAGCTGTTGACTTTTCTGAAAGTTCTGGTGAGAATGTAAGAATAAAAACATGACTAACATAATGAACTACAATGCTTCTTCCTTAATTTATTACCAAGATTAAGGTGCAACTAATTTCCTACCCAAAAAAAAAAAAAAAATGCTTAGCTCCATGAACTGGATTTTTACTTATAATGTGAATGCCAAGCCATGCCAATAAGACTTTTTTAAAAAAAATGTTTCTTGTCATTAAGATTTTCTAAAAGCCAGGGCCTTGAAGATTGACATTTACTTTCCAGATTTTAATATTTCTGCCCTTTCTTCCTTCCTTCCTTTTAGTCAACACTCAGGCAGAACAATATTGGTAACACGAGTCTCTTCAAAGAGAAAACAGTCACAAATAAGTAAACTGGCATATCCAAATGCTTTTGTTGTTAAATGCAGTATTTTCTCCTTATAATATGCAAAGTAAAAAAAAAGTGAAACAGTGTTTCTAGTATTAAAATCTCAGGTAATACCTCAATTCAAATCAATATTAGGTACTTTTTTATGACTCCAATAAGCACTTATATATTGAGAATAAAGAGCAATACACATATTTTTAAAAGGACTATTTTGGTGTCTTAGTGTAACCCAAATTCAGATTTTAGATTTCATTTTTCCAAATATTGATTACTTCATACTTTCCCATAGCCTTGCTCCTGTGGCTGTTGGATTTGGACAAATGTTTCTACATGAGTTACATTCTGTATATCAATTGCTGCATTGATCAATTGTTGCCACATGATGTGTCGGCAAGAAAGTCTTTGTTGGATGGCAAATAAATTAAGCAAAACAAACATTTTTATTCTGCTTCAAACAATTGATACTGTACTTGAGTAAACCAGCAAATAGTGGACATCTCTATGCAAGTGGCTTTTCAATAAAAGGAAAAAACAATCACAAAGTAATTGCAACACATAGACGATAGTCATAACTTGAATCCAAAACCCAACAATCTACTTATGATTCTCTTTGGAGATAGATACGGCTCTTAGCTTTGAAACTGTTGATATGAAATTTTAAAGACATACTTGAATATTAAATAAAACATATCCTACCTTATTTGCCAGTCTTTAGGATGGTATTCTGAAACATGACAATGCAAATTCCTGTAAATAAAAAGAACATATGACTAAGGCATTTTCCAATTGAATTGAAATAACAATTATGTAGTTATCTAAAAGAAAACTATTGGGAACTACTAAATATTTTTTAACTTCCGGTGTTGATATATTTAATAGCTTGAATTATATGTTCTTACAGCCAGAAACAAATGTAACATATGTGTATACTATTGGAAATGTTAATTCTACTTAAATTTTGTATTCACAAATTTTTTTTTTTATCTTCAAGTGTTTTCAGATTCAGATACTAAATCATTCTGGAAACTAATTCTTCAAATGTCACAAGTAGTATGGAAATAATGCATAAGGCATATTGTGTTTAGATTTGACATGCTAGATGTTTTACCTAAAACTGAGCAGTAATATAACTGAATATATTTGATGATTACAACTGAATAAGAAAATAGCTTATTACAAAAAAAAAATCCTTCTTTATCCTTGTATAATATCGTATGGATATCCCCTGCAAATCTTATGTTGAGATGTAATCCCCAGTGTTGAAGGTGGGCCTGATGGGAGGTATTTGGGTCATGAGGGCAGATTCTTCATGGCTTGGTGCTGTCCTGGTGACAGTGAGTTCTTGCAATGTTTGTTTAAAAGTGTGTGACACCGCTCACTCCCACTCTCTGTTGCTCCCACTCTTGCCATGTGAGATACCTGCTCTTTTTTCACCTTCTACTATGATTGGAAGCTTCCTGAGACCTCTGCAGAAGCAGATGCTGGCACTGTGCTTCCTGTACAGACTGTAGAAGTGTGAGACAATTAAACCTCTTTTTTAATAAATTAGCCAGTCTCAGGTATTTATTTATAGCAATGCAAGAACAACCTAATATATTATAAATATATTTAATATGTTCATTTATTTAAAATGGAAGAATGATATATTTCACATCGTAATATTTTGAAGAATATAAAATAAAGTTTTGGATAAAATAATACAATAATAAATTTGGGTTATTTTCATATCTGAGAAAACTATAATTTATTCTGTTGGCTTTGAGACAAGATATCTAAGTTAGTATTTGAGAGAAGATGATTAAGGTATATTTCAGAATGACAATCACATTATATTTTTTTTTTATATTTCACAGACTTTTCAGCAACTCTCACTTCTCTCAATCAATAAGATAAAGATATAATCCATTGTATCATTGTTTCTATCCAATATACCTAGTTCAGTATTGTCCTAAGTAGTATTTATTTACTGCCTAGAAGAAAGCAGCCTCCTATGAGTGCACTTTCCTTTTTAAAATGTAGTTCCAAGAAAAACAGCACAAGAAGCATTTTGTATCCTGAATATCTAGATGATATGTAGGTATGAAGCATAAAAGATTCTAATACTAACCATAGCTTCAGTGTTTCATGCCCATTTAAAAAATATACAAAACCAGTAAATGAAAAGAGATGTACATTTGTTAATACTAAGTGTTTTAATATAAAAGCGAAATGTATATTTTGTAATAAGAGATAAAAGTACAAAATCATAGAAGAGGAAATAAACTTGAAGACCATGGAGAGGGAATTCCATGTTTTTCTGGAAGATAGAGGCTTGCTTAAGGTCATGAACAAATCTATAATGAGTCTGGAATTAGAAGCTATCATAAGATTCCCATTTTTTAAAAATTATTATTACATGAAAAGAAAGGCAGCTGTATGACGTTCTTGTAAATAACTCATTTGCTGAACTTAGAATATTTATTTGTGGAAATTAGACGAATAGAAAGTGGGTGTAAGTTATATCCTAATACATTAAGATGATGCAAATATGTGATGCTGAAGTCGTTTATCTTTAAGATATTTTTAATGTGTTCATTTTTATCTAAATATTTCAAATTTTATTATTTATCACAATGATATAAAAATAATTATCTAAACAGTGCTATATTTCTTTTTCAGCTGTTTGTAAGGGTGAGAAAAATAGATTTATAAAGTTTATAAACTATCACAGGAATGATTTTATTTTTACTTCGTAATCATGATTAAAGATGACATCTTTCTATTTGTATTATTCTTAGATCTACAAAGGAATGGCACATTTTTCAAATATGTATTTCAATAGAAAATAGACAATTTTTAGAGTTGCTTAAAATTTGCTGTGCATGCCATAATAAAGTGCAGTTTTGGAAATAGGACACTTAACCAAAGCCTCCCTAAAATGTTTCTCAACTGTAACAATTAGTATTCTTTATGTGGTTATGCAATTAATTGTAAGAAAAAAATTAAAACATATAAACCCACAATAGATTTACTGTGTTTCTGTCACTAATTGCTTAAATATTTTACTTATTTATTTAAGGAACATTCATATTTATTGATCACTACATATCAGGTGCATCTGACATTTTTCTAGGCACCTGGAATATATCAATCAACAATTTTCCAAAAGTCTTTTACTTTGGCTCTTACTTGGAAACAATATCCAGGAAATAAACAATGTGCAACACAACTAAAACAAGTAAGTTATATATAATATTCAAATGTGATCATTTTAAGGGGAAAAATTGTCACTGTGAAAAAAAGAATGCTTTGAGTAGGGTGATTGCCATTTACAGTTTTGAATAGAGTGGACCGAAGCAGATCTGAGCAAAGTCTTAAATAATCCTTCAGGATTTTATCTATAGTTTAGGATAAAGTTTGTTAGTATTTAGTTAAGGTGCTAACTGAATAAGTGATAAAAACTAAACTTGTTTGCATGTCAAAGGGAGAAATTAATTTCACTCCATTACTTTTACAAATAAAATATCCAAGTACTTTGCATTCTACAGATTTCTTCAGGAATGGCTTTGGCATTAAAAGCATTGCTGTGTTGTTGTTTTTGTTTTTTTTACCACAAACATCACCAAGATCTATTCCAATTTGCTTAAACAAAAAGTGTACATATGACAATAGATAAATGGCAACAATACCATTGTTCTAGATATGAATTTCACTAGATATGAATTTCACTACTAGGAGCATAGTGTGGAAATTAACCTTAAGTGACTCAATTTGTCTCAGTCTCAGTGTAGTGAAGTTGTCACAAAATATTTTAGTTTCAGAATAAGCAAGCCAATCTACCAAGAAGCTCTTCCCTTTATCTTGTAATTAGGGTGTTTTGGTAGTATTAGTCACTGTGTAATTTTCAGACTGCTTTAGGAATTAATTATTAAAAGATGCAGCACTATATTTTCACATCTACTAGGATATCATTTGTGCTCTAGGCCTTGTGATAACAATAACCAAGTGAATATTAAAATAGAACAAAGCAGCCAGGCATGGTGGCTCGTGTCTGTAATCCCAGCACTTTGGAAGGCCGAGGAAGGTGGATCACTTGAGCTCAGGAGTTAAAGACCAGTCCGGGAAACACAGATCCCCATCCCTAGAAAAAAATATAAAAAGTAGCCTGATGATGTGGTGGCATCTGTATGCCAGCTACTCGGGAGGTTAGAGTAGAAGGATCACTTGAGCCTTGGAGGTGGTGGTTGCAGTAAGCTGAAATCTGCCACTGCATTCCAGCCTGAGTGACAGAGTGAGACTCTGTCTCAAAAATAAATAAATGAATAAAATAAAATAGGACAAAGCCAGTGCATTAAGGTTACAGTTTTCTGGAATTGTTTGACTGGTGCAATTTTATTACAGAACCTCATCAACCAGTGTCACCTCTTTCTGAAATATATGCAGTACTGCTTTTGACCATAGATTTTAGTGTTTATAAGAGACAGAGAATTTTATCATCTGGTGGCAATGTACATGTTAATAATACTATTTTTTCAAGAATGTGCCTTATATTTGGCAACTGACATACACACATATATTTATTTCATGACCATATTATTTTAGAGACTTACTCCCATCTTAAATAAATGTCATTTTTTTTCTAACATCTAGTCAATATAATTTACCTGGCACCCACATAGACAAGTCTTACATAGTCCTTATATGACTTATATTATAATCCATTACTTCTGTAGAAAATCCTCACTGAAAATGACTTGATAATGATTGTGAACTTATGGTTAAGATTCCTATTGCCTCTTCTAATAAATCAGTTTGATTTATTAGAAATATTTGTAGTCATTTATTTCAAAAATTCTAGGGATAAGCTGTAAAAAACATATTTAGGAGAGAACCTAATATGGAATGGATTCATTTTTTCTCATTGAAAAATTACAATATTATAATTATGCATATGAAGATCTTCTAAGTATTTATTAAGAAAATTTACCAAATATTCATATTGATAAATTCCAGTTCAAATGATTTCTTTTTGCAATATCACAGGATTCATTCTTCCAAAAGGTCGTAAAATCACAGCTTCAAATTCACCAACAGTTTAATGTAACTGAAACAAGCAAACAATTGACTGTCTCATTTATATTTAAGGAATGGATTTTATTTTATACCTTGATACTGAGTCATTGGACTTAAATCAATAAGCTTTATACCTACTTTCATATATTATCATGTTGGGTAAGAAACAAGTGTGGATGCACATTTCATTATCCTATTTGAAAGAGCTGATACACCACTGATATTGTTTGGCTCTCTGTCCCCACCCAAATCTCATGTTGAATTGTAATCCTCAATGTTGTGGGAGGGGCCTGGTGGGAGGTGACTGAATTATGGGTCAGATTTCTCCCTTGTTATTCTCGTGATAATTTCTCAGGAGATCTGGTTGTTGGAAAGTGTGCAGCACTTCCTCCTTTGTTCTCTCTCTCTCCTGTCACCATGTTAAGACATGCTTGCTTTCCCTTGCCCTTCTGACATGACTGTAAGGTTCCTGAGGCTTCCCCAGCCATACTTTCTGTACAGCCTGTAAAACTGTGAGTCAATTAAACCTCTTTTATTTATAAATTGCCTGGTATCAAGTAGTTCTTCATAACAATGTGCAAATGGACTAATATAACAGCAAACCAGGAGATATATCATTTCTGGGTGAAGCATCAGTGACCTTACTGAGGATCTATAATCCCCCCTCCCCCAAATAGTTATAATCTGTTCTAGAT